CGGAAAGTCAGTCTCTGGTTGTTGGGTTCGATTCCCGCTCGAGATGTTTATTTTTCGGCGGTTTTGTTTTCGACAGAAAAGAATAAAGAAATAAATAACAGCCTTGTGATCTATACAAGTAAATGTAGAATATGTTTGGAAGACTACAATCAAGCGCACAACGATGAATGCTCCAAACAATATAAATGTGCATAATGTCATGAAGAACATTATTCTTTAGATGGCGAATGTCCAGAAATACAACAACACCGTCAAGAACTCAACAAGGCAGTTAAAGCAGCAGTTAGGGCAGGTACAATTCAAAACGTTACTACTAATCAAGCATCTAAACCCTCACAAAATCAATCAACAAGTAATACAAATCTAAACTTTGCCAATTCCAATTTTCCACCGTTTCCATCAGCCACTATATCGAAACAAAATACAAAACCACCACCATGGGCACAAAAGAATACATCGATAACAACAAATCAAATCAACGATATAACCAATGATCAACTCTTCGAGAAACTGTGCAATCACATCGACCAAGCTAATGAAAAAGCAAATACCAAAATTCAAATAATGGAAGAAACATTAAAATTAAGTGATAATGCCATAGCAGTGCTACACAATCGAGTATCCAAGATGGTGGAAATCCTGCAAATCATTGTACAAGCAGTAGCACTTACAACAACATTAAACGACTCAGAAGTTAACATGGCCGAACTTGTGTTAAAAGCGATGACTTGTTTAGGAGAAGAAAAGAACATACTCAATATCGGAGGTGATGGACAACCTCGATCACAAGAAAAAGATGATACTATGATCATTGAAGTACCGGTAAGACAAACGCAAGCAGATCAATCTACAAAATCTAATGTACAGTAAACTCAATCCTAATGCTCCAGCTTTCCCTTACGCTTGCAATGAAACGAAATCAGCTGCGCAGTTAGCACAAGACAGATTAGACCGATGCCAAGTTAGTAAAAAAGACCAAAACATAACCATTCCAATTCTGCACTGGAAACAAATCCGTTGAATGATCTGTCCTTGTACCTTTTATTTCTTCTGATAAGCTCTTCAAGGGTTTATCGTGTGCTCGTAAAGCCTTCAAAGGTATATTGAACATTGCGCTTATCAACCATAGGGTATATGGGCATTTAACGGGTACATCACATTTACGAAAGCGTTTCTACGAAGGTACTTCAGCGTAAGCGTCTGTTGTTGAACGTTTAGCCGTATACCAATGTTCGGTATTGACACAACGGTATATCATGATACGGTCTGAGGTTTATCATCTTGCTGGTTGTGCCAAAGGATTTATTAGTCTACTAATAAAGGTTTATCTTTCTTCTTTTCGATAATCAATATATTATTCTACTGGTAAAGGTTGGTTCTTCACTCCATTGAATTATAGGGTATATTATCCTTCGGCTAAAACTAATCTACCTTGTGTTCACTTTCGAAAGGTTTATCCATACACAGTTAAGTGCTGAGGTACCTATAGTGACCTGAAAAGGGTTTATCAATGCACGGTTGAGGGCTCATCACCCTCCGCCTTTCTATGAAGGGTTTATCCATGTATTCATCAGAGACAACTTTTTTATTCTGAAGAATTTATTATTGCGGCTCCAGTACCGATTCATTTCCATTTATGACTGGAAGAAAGTTTTGTCAGTGATGTGCAATGCACAAAGAAATTATCAGTTTGAAAATATATCCAAAAATGTAAGAAATTGCGCGAAAAATACGTATCGAAGTTCATTTTATACTTGGCATCTGAGAAAAAAATTGAATTTTTCATCGTTTATACGTTTTCATATTCGAAAAAGAGGCATGGGTATCGTCTATCGAAACTTTCTGTCATTAGATAAAATACCTACGGCTTAGATAAATGGATGCATTGAGCGATTGAGCACGCAAACAATTAATAATGATTTTGTTTGCGTATATCTTTGATACCATTATCGTGACCTTGTCTTTAGATAATTATAGACAACAGTTTTATTCTTTTTCGATCACTTCATTATTTTATGTAAGTTGCTCCTGTGAAAACGTAGTTGCTTTGGTGCAAATTACTCAATGATCTTGATTCAGTTTTATCAAGACATGGAGATCAGTTTGTCCTAATTTATTATGTAAAGATGTGCGTATTTTTAGCTAAATAAAAGCCCATTTTGTATTTGTGTAAACGAATAGGTCACCATAATGCAGCCTAAAAGCGTTTGTTATTAGTATTTGTCTGAGTTAGTCGCCTTCTTGTATCTTTTAAAGCAGAGTAAACGTGTGCGTTTCCGTGGAAGCAAAATATTGAATTGTTTATGTTTTCTCAATGTCATCATTTGTAATCATCTCCCGAACACTTATTCTGGTGTAGTTGCTATTTTAACTTCATCATCATTTTTTTAATCTTTTTTCAAAATTTATCACATTCATGCGTCTGAATCTATCAAGTTTTATACAATAGCCGTTTCATTTTCGTCATCAATCCATACTGAAATTGACGGTGAAATTATTTAAGGTTCACCACTAATAAAAGTTTATTGTTTGATTTTCACTTTGTATTTTGTAATACTATCTATTAGTATTTGCTTATATAACTGTTTTGAGTTGTATGGTTTTTTATATAGCAAAACATACTAATCCAACTTTCTAACTTTTACGACTATTCTAAAAAAAGTTCTTCTTCGCATCTCATCATATTTCAATTCAAGTTTTACTCCTTTACCGAGTCATAATATACATGGATCTCCCCAAATGATAAATGATGCTAAACGACTACGCCAGTGATTGTTGAAATTGGAAAGATACTTCTTTTTCTTAGCTGGACCTAAGCAAATATTTTTAAGAGTTGAATGTGATTCAGTTTCATATGATGATTTATTATGTAATATATTTACAATACTTAAAATACCAATTTTTATTTTATTCAATACTCAAACATAAACTGCTGTTGTAGCTAGTTCAAAAGTACCATCTGCAATTTATTTAGTATGTAGCAATTTTCCATTAACAATGTCTATAGATAATTCAACAACTGGTGAAATTATTAGTATGACAGGTACGTTTTCAAATTTTTCGCATATCTGAACTACGAATATTGTTAAAAGCTGTCCTCATAGAATTTGAAGCTGATAATTTCAAGATTTTTCATCTACATCATCAAGATCGGCAAATAATAATCGATGCAATTATTGATGATCCGATTGAAAATTATAATTTACTATAAACTATCTCTTCATTGAAACACACATAGCCGTCATGTTCCTTCATATCTTAAGAATTTTTTCTTTGCTCTACAACAGTTTTATATTGAAAATTGCTAGTATTCACTTTTTTAATCGATTATGTAGTTCGTAATTTAAATTTCAACTAATATGAGACAAGAAATCGTTAGTTGAAACAGTTTTTCTCTAAATATTTAGAACGACACAATGAGATTTTTCTCTATCCAGAAACTGTCGATGATCGACAGTTTTTTGTTTATTTTAAATTAATACGTTGTTTAGTTCAAAACTGAACGATCAACATAAAACTATTGATTTTGCTCTGAAAAAACATTTTCAATTATCATAGAATTTCACACTCCTTCGTGTTATTAACTTTTTAATTAACCATCATCTCTCAAAAACGTCATATACTGTCGCTCGTTCTGCTTGTATACGATATTTGAAATTTCTTCTAACATAAGAAAATTCACTAACGAGGAAGGTACACCAACTTGAAAATCCCTTTCGGGCTGAAACATAGTTGATCATAGGCAATCGACCATGCTGAATCCGAATATCATGGTCGTTACGGCTACTGGAGTCTCGAAAAGCTTGGTTTTCTAGAAAACCGGTTTTTCATTGAAATTTTTTTTCTTTTTAAATGATTTTCTGATGCTCTCAGATAATAGAGCACATCAAATTACATATAAAAATTTATTTTTGCCAACTTTTTAGTGCTTACTGGCGTACTATGACACGTTACACTCTTCGGACTGAAATATACTTTAAATTATTTGTTGTGCTTTTATATTGAAATATATTGCTAATCTATATCTATGTGTATATCACAGGCCTTTTTCTCATACTCGTATTAATACAAACTAGTTCTGATAGATTCAATCATATCAGACAAGTACCAGTATCTGTGCATCACTCCCTTTTCACTTGAATAATTTCTGACGGCTACGGAGAAAACATACCTTATGAGAAAACATAAGAGTTTTTTTATTAATTTTACAGAAACTGATATTCCAAAAAGAAAATAGTTAGATTTAAGTCTTTTTTTTCATGTAGCTTTGCGTTGTGACTAGAAACTACAAAACAAAAATGGCTAGAATATATAAAGTAAGCTTAACAATAAAAAGTAACTTTGAAAGAAAAACAGCTGCAAATCTCAAAACCATTCTTCTCCATCGTGATGCTATTTTTTGGTATAATTGATAATCAATCATTTTTCAAATAAAACTTCCCATCTAAAAGGAAAAGAAAACATTTTGAAATTCGTTCACAACTGTTTTTCATTTGTAAGATCTAAAATTCTTTCTACCTTAACATTAAGTATGGAAATGATATGAAATAAAAAAATGTTGAAAGCATAGTTTCTTTGAACAATGTGCACAAGTAATATATACACATTCACCACATGATTGTAACTCGCACTGCTCGTGTGACGTTATTGTCGGAAAACATATTTCATTAATAGTTGAGAAAGGAGATGGGTTTTGTTTAAGTAGACCAGCTACAAACCAACTGTATTTCACCATTGGTTGAAATACAGACGCAGAAAGTTGATTATGCATAAGTGAAACTAACTTACTAATATTATTTCGCTCATATAGATGTATTGGTATTTTATCTAGAGCAACACGATTGTAAATTTTTTTTATGAAATTCTTTACTTGTCGGTTGTAGAAACAATCTAACAGTTGAAGTTCACTCGTAGTTCGCTTAGGTATTTCTAAACGAACTACATCTTTTCCAAGACAGGTTTTGTTTTCGTAAAGTTTGATATCTTTCTGTCCGGCCCAGCTATCCGACAACAATAAACATTTCTTTCCAATAAATGGTAGTAGACATTTATCCCTCCAATAAGCTACTAATGATGTCGTCAGCTTGCCGGAGGAAGAGCAAGTAATGACAACATTAGCCGGCTTAAATAAGTTTTTCTTTACAGTATCACCCATTTTACCATTTACTTCTTGTAAACATAATAAAATAGGGTCCACTACTTTCCCATCGAGAGATATCGAAGGTTGTATTGTATAAGAGTGGGTTGTAGCGTTTTTCGAAGATACAATTCCATAAATTTTCTTTAGTCCAACAGCAGATAATGTTCTAGTGGAATGAAGTTCCTTCTCAACACCTGATTGGTCAGTATTAATCACTTCTGATGGATCATAATCAGGCAATGAATTATAATATTCGGTAAGAAAATATTGTTTTGATTGTTGCACTATACGATAGTCATCGATTTCATGTCGAGTTACAATGTTTGTTATACGACGAGAAACAATTCCATGTTTACGTTTAAAATTGCTTAACCATCCATGTGATGCATGAAAATTATCTAATTTCATTTCTTTGGCAAATTTCAAAGCCCATCGTTGCAGATCTAAATTATGTATGGGAAGCGCTTGATCACGTGCACTAACAAATTTATCATAGATAAGTTTATCGATTTCTCGACATTTTTGCTGTTTGGTACCTTCTTTTTGTAAATAATTTCTGAATAGACTAACATAACTTTGACTCAGCAATGATTTAAAACGATTGTGAATACTTTTCCATGTGTGACGTTTTTTTCCATACGCATCTTTTTCATCGGCAAAATCAACTACAGCTTTCATATATTCAAGCGAATATTGTTTTAAATGACGTGTGGCTTTTCCATCCGCCTCATTGGTCCATTCATCATCAACTTCATTTCTATCGTTATAGACTGTATCCATATCTTCATCATTATCAGAATAGTCTGACATATCATGTAAATCTAAAGTTGTTTCTTCTTGGTAATTGAATTTGGTACAATCGACAAACGATTTTATTGTTTCATATAAATGTTGCGCAAGTTCTTTTTCTTTTGGTGTTATTTTAGAAGGATATAAATCTATATTTACCTTCACTATATCAAGCAAAGCATTAACAACATTGTAAGGATTCATTATATGACAAATTCAAGTTGAATCCGATGCGTTCCTTTACAATAGTTAAATTTCAAAACATAATTCAAAGTAGAAAAGATCGAAATTTACTCTCTATGAGGTTTTGTAATACTTATTACTTGTTGACCACGCTGCCACTATCGATTAAAGATAAACTGTTTCACTGTGATAAGTTAGATAGTGAATGTGAATAAAAAAAGAAGAGAAAAAAAGGTAGTAAAACATTTCAGAGAATGTAAACAGTGAATGATACACAAAAATTGAATGATTAATCGACAGAGAACGATAAATAAAACCATCGTACTTAATTATGTTAGAAAGAAAGGCATATATATATATGGGTGTTTCCATGGGAAACCACCAGCCGATTCGGCGACCTCCTCCGATTTTGATGAAACTTTCTGGGTTTGTAGAGCTTTTCAAGCTGAGCATTTTGATATAAAACTTTTTTCGATTTGACCTTTCTTTCGAGGAGATATAAGTCAAATACTAAGAGCACCATTTTTGATTTTTTGAAATTTCTTGAAAAATGAACAGTCGACGTTTTACCGAAAAACTCTCGATATTTCATCATAGCTTCCTCGAATTTCAAAACCAATGGCATATTCAGAATCCTCAAGAGAAACTGCATCAGAATCAGTGAAAACTTTTATTTGTCTCATAGACTTTTTATCTTCTACTGCGTCCGCAATATTGACTTCCGAGCCCACAAATCCCGAACTTTGTGGAGGAAAATCTTATCTAAAACCGGAATGAACCGAAGGTTTCGAATAGGCAGTTCGATAGAGAAAAACGAGCTCTACAAGATGTGCTATTTTGTTTCCTGGCCACATTCGATTTAGAGTACGAAAAGCACTAAAAACATGCTAAAATCGCCTTTTGCGCGGTTTTTCGCACGTTTTTTCGAAAAATTTTTGCTATTTCACTTACGGCATCGAAAGAGACCTGAAGAATCTTGTAGAACTTTTTGAGGCGAACATTTTGGTGACAAAATATTCAACATTTGCGCACTTTTTCATAACAAAAAGCAAGAATAATGCTGATACACGTGATATTGTTCTCAATATTACCATCGAAAAAGTGTTTTTTCGTTAAAAAATAACAGAATAATAGCTAAAATGCATCTAAACAACGTTTTTTCTTTTCCAAAATAATTTTTCTGATTTCATTAAAACGTGCACAAACTAAAATCTCTCTGTTGTCGTTCCTTTTGAACGCAAAGTAGAACTAAAGGGGCTTGTAAATTATAATTCGTGTAAAGATATTGATCAACCTTGATTAAATCAGTCGTCATCCCAAAAATTGTGAATATCAATAAATTGTTGTGAACTGATGCGAACGTTGCCGTTTGTTGCTCGTAGTGAATTATCGATAAAGCGCGCTTGAATGATTTCAATTGGAATTGTCAGATTGGATAAGTACGGCGATTTTGCGGAGTAGAAACTGGATGCAGGAAACGGAGGATCAAAACAGGAAACTGTGAGCTGCGACTGCGCAAGGTGTAATGACTTGATTTGAGCTAGACGAAGGTTCTCGTCAAGTTTAATAAGGACGAAGAAGTCATTTTGCAAATCAGATGTCTTGACCACTTGGTTTATTGAGGATATCCTAGCAACCTGACTACGAAATTTATAAAGAATGGTTTTGGTAGACTGTGAAACTCGACGAAGTGTTATCGAACCATCTTTGCCAGCTGCGAATTCGTGATAATCACGAATACCTGTTATTCGATCTGAAAGAAAGTTTGTAATTGAAGCGCTATGTTACTGAAACTATACCTTTTGTAGAAAGAGAATTCCATCGGTGTGTTAAGATTTCTTCGAACTCTTTGGTAATTGTATCGGAAGGAAGCCAACGAACTTCAATAGGCCGATTAGGTTCTGGAATGCTAATCGAATTTGCGTCTGCACCGCCCTTTGGACGAGGTTTTGCTATTACCATTCGATCATTCCTTTGAAAACACCAATTGTAAAAATCTTCTGGGGAAGCGAAGGATACCTGCGGACCTCCCCTCAGCAAATAGTGTGTTGCTGTAAACTTGATCACTGCGCCCAAGCCATCACACGGACCTTTGCCATGACCCGTACTACTAAAGGTCCACGATGCTACAAGGTGAAAATCTTGATAGTGATGAGCTAAGTTGTGCATATTGTATCTATCTAAAGAACACACAGGTCAATCAGCTGTTTATAGTTTTGAGAATTCACTTTTGAAATGTCCGGTGGCTCCGTCGCTAACGTAATTAACTTTTAAAATGGTTCGATACTCTTTTTTGAGAAATTCGATGATGATCTTTTGTGCAGAATAAACAAATCGTGTGTCATGAGCAAGATAGTTAGAAATTATAACCATATTTCGATGCTCATCGCCAATTCTTATGTAAACTGTGAATATTGTTGCTTGTTGACGACAGTAGTATCCCGACTGAATTTCTCTTTGTATCACGAAAGAGAAGTTTTGGGCGAAATCAAGTTGCACTATAGCATATGTGCTGAAGCTCGACAACTCTTTGATCATGGCGATATAATCACGCTGTTGAGATGTATTGAATGTATGTGTAATAAAATTTGACCATAGACTGTCAATCTCTCCCAGGAGAGCTTGAAAAGCTCCTGTAACATGAAGAAGTTCATAGCGTAGTTGTACCTTCTTCCAAATCGACCATGAGCATTCATCTTGAACTTCGACATCAATACCATTCGATAGAATATCAGATGCTTTGATAGTTCGACAGCCATCACATTGACGATAATAACACTGTTCAGAAGGAGAAGAGCATATAGTTTGTTCTAATAATGTTTTTATCGTAATGAGACGATCAAGTGATTTTGATATGGCCTGAAATATAGAACTGGAACTAAAACAAACTATGATGAATCACTTACCTGTAGCAATAAGTTCGCATTCTCGTGAAACATACACAAACAAGAATCATGTGGCGTTCGCTCTTTAACCCATGCTGGTCGTAATTCATAAAATTTCGATTTTTTTATTGGCACGTCAGGGTATTGTATTTTGAATTTTTGAAAAGTTTCGCCAATAGTAAGGTGTAAAAAACGCAAAGGAATAGGAACTCTTGATGGAGGAGGATGAATAACTTGTTTTTTGTACGATGTTTCGCGACTCACTTCATCGCTATTATAATAATTGTGTACTGCTAGTTTTGTTTGATTGTCAAGAGGTCTATTCCCTCGCTGATCTTCAGCACGAGACAAAATTCCAGTGGCTGATTTAATCTTCAACGCGCGTCGCGCTTGATTGCCAGAACCATTAAACCAATTCGCAATGCGATCTCGACCCCAATTCTCTGGTAACATGGTCATTAATCGCTTCTGCTCATCCTTGTCACTAATGGCAAACAACTGGCGAAGTTGTCGGAGTATCCAAATCGCATCACCCATAGAAAGATCAAGTGAACTCAATGTTTCCGATTCATCAATGCGCTGAGAAAGTGGCAAAAGAACATTTCTCCATTCATGTAGCCTAAAGTATATTTCATCCACAGCGTTTGCAATCTGATTCGTATTTCGTCTAGGAATAAAAGATGAACCCTTTTCAAATATGAAGTTTATCTTACATTTCGTTGATTCTCTCCATCCCAACGCACTGTAGCACTTGGTTTAACTTTTGTCTTGCATCTTCTTTCACGTCAATATATCCATTATTCACTGGTGTGATTGGTGGATTCTCTAAATGATTTCTAAATTGATTTTGTTTTTAAATTTATAAAAGTAATACCACAAGCAATATCCATATCCAACGCTTCCACGAAGTATTTCTCTTCTTTTGCGAAGCAAGAAGAACATAAATAATCATCTTCAGAAAGCTTTTTTGAAGTCCCATTCAGTATACTCTCATTGCGACTATTGATTGATACGGCTAATCGCTTGGGGATTGCTCTTCTCCCTTGTGGGTGAGACGGTCTTGGTCCCGTTTTCCAGTAACGCCTTTTCCCATTTGGTAAAACTTCGACATGCCGCGGATGAGCACACCACCCTCGCTTTCTCATGCACATCGTACAAAACTATTCCACTAGGTAGCGACCAACGAGTAAAACAGTTTAAAGCTTCAAATAATACATGGACTTCAACACTGGATAGCCGTGAATCATGCCTGGTTGACAACGAATGGATCGCACATATACACATATACAAAGAGAAAAGAACGCTCCTTTTCAATGATTCGCGAATTTTAACAAATCAGCACTTCGTTAAAACGTATCCTTTTCCGCTCGATATATAGCGCCGATTGAAGCAATAATTTTGCCTAATGTTTAATGAAATCAGAAAAATGATTTTGGAAAAGAAAAACGTTGTGTAGATGCCTTTTAGCTCTTATTCTGTCTTTTTTAACGAAAAGTAGGGAAAATCCTGAAAAGTACATGTCGTGGACTCTTGTCAGTAGTGTTTTTCACGCACAATCCGAGTATGGAAGTAGTTTTTCCACCGATAGAAGTTGCACAACTATATTCTGTTATTTTTTAACGAAAAAACACTTTTTCGATGGTAATATTGAGAACAATATCACGTGTATCAGCATTATTCTTGCTTTTTGTTATGAAAAAGTGCGCAAATGTTGA